CTTCCGCCGCCGCGCCCTCCTCGCCGCGCGCGCGCTAGTACGGCGAGGATCGCCGACCGGAGACGCGTCACCGCCGCCTCGCCGCGCCTCCTCCTGCACGGCGTCGCGGCGCCGGCGTCGTAGTAGGGCGTGGCTCCGGCGAACATGGACGCGGCCTCGTCGTCGTCGCCGTAGTTCTCCTCCTCGTCGGGTTCCTGCCCCAGCGGCGACCGGCCGCCGTGGCGCACCTTGCTGGCACGCTTCCTAAGAAGCCATTGCAGGTTGGCGAGGCCGCCTGTGCTGCCCCATGCGCCGGTGGTCTTGGACGGGAGCGGCGACGGCGAGGCTACAGCGGCCGGTGACGCCGCCGCCGCTGCGTGGAAGGCTCTTGCCATGACGCAAGCACGGCTTCAGCTCCCGTGCATGTGAGAATGGAGCGCACACTAGTGACAATATATCAAGAGAGAATCGAAGTAGAAGACGAGCAGAGACAGAGAGCGTGGCAGCTTTAGAGTGTGCAGGCCAGTGAGAGAAGAATTCGGAAGCTTTAGGCGTGCAGCAATGCGACGACGACGCTCTGTCCTTTCAGCAGGCAAGGGGTGCAGCAGCTACCGCCGCGGAAACCTGCATAAATACTTAACCGGACCACGTCCACCGAGAGAGAGAGAGAGAGAGAGAGAGAGAGAGAGAGAGAGAGAGGGAGGTTGGCAGAGCAGACGGACCTACGCCCACCAAACTGGTAACAAAAGGGATGGATGCCTTTGATGTGCATGGCAAAGAAGGCGACGGAATTTTAACTGTTTTCGCTTTCGCTTTCAATGGCGAAAACGACGAGACGAAGAGGAGCAAGATCGGAGGAGAGGCAGGACATCGAGAGCCGCAACACCGTCTGACGCGCGCGCGTATGACACTGACGTTATAAACTTAAAATTCCTAGTATATTTTACTATACCAGCGTTCCTTCCTTCGAAACGTTCAACGCGTTCCAGAAGGCAGCAGATCAGCAGGCTGCGACGGTCGCCCACAATTTGCAGGATTCAATTTTGTGTTTGGACTTTGGATATCTCCTAGAGCTACTCGATCGGCCATGGTTAGTTTTCGTGCTTGATTATTGGTGTGCATGTACAAACCTGAGCTCTCTCTATGGTCCTAAATATTTGGAACATTTCAAGAGGTCAAGTGTCTTGATTCGACTGGAAACTGATGCAACACCGAAACAACGCCACGACAAGGCGTGTCTGCGCTTCGACCTTTCAAATCCTCGATTCCTAGTTTCTCCTAATGTCTCAGTTGATTTTTTTTTAGAAATGATTGTCTCTGCTGATGCATGCACATTGCACCTATTGACAAGGAAAATGTGGCATAAGTAATATCTATCACATCGGCGTGATGCTTAAGCTTCGCTTGACAATTGGGCACACATAACTGATTTCTTTTTTTACCAATATGCATGGCCACCCCTGATGCAGAAAGCCATATTAGTTATCATAGCGTCATCATTATCTCATCATCATCAAATCAAACTGAAACAAAATGAACAAGATTTTTGTCAGTGCCGTAATGCGTTTCAGTTTAATTGATTGCCGTGATTCTATATATTTATGTATCGCTGACAGTGGATGATCACATCATTGAGATATGCTCAAAGCATTTAAGAAACCGTCAAGCTGAAAAGCTAATTTATGCGCGATATCAAGATCATTGAAGCATGGATTAAAGAGTTGTAATCATGCATTGTCACGCCTGTGGAATTTTATATTTTTTAGCCACCCATCGATCATATGATTTCATTATTGGATCATGAAGCATACCAATTTAGTCTGCTTTGTTTCCCTACCGCTGCCTATTTTAAGGCCGCCTTGCAGGAATTCGTTTGCATCTTTGCTTCTTAGATAGATACAGTCTTTGTAAAAGGCACATAGGGGTTGACAAAGCGGTCGGTAAATGCAACAAAATCTTGAAGCTTCTCAAAACATAGTAGCTACTGAAGAAAGGAGCTGCAACTACACCCCAAGGCCTAACACTCTCTGTTACTTGTTCTAACCAAATCACATAGTCAATCTTAGGATCACAGAGACAGATATTTCTTGAGCGGATCCCTTAAATAACATGGTCATGTGCATGATCTACTGGTGCTTTTTAGCCGAAAACAAAATGGTTTGAACAGACTGAAACGAAGGCTAAGCATTCGGTTGAGCACAATTTGCTGGTATCTACGTTTTCCTTTGCACGAATTAACTCGAAGCTGCAGCTGCAACAGCAGCACCTTTCCTGACGATGTAGCGCTCGAGATAGCACGATCATGCATCAAAAGGCAAATTCTAGCCATGCATGCCGCGAGCCGTAGGTTTCAGTCTGTCCAGCGGCCACGATCATCATTCTCGTACGTGGTCTGCAAAAGAAGCCAACAAAAGAACAGAGCAGCAGTGAAAATGAATGGCTACTCTGTCACTCTGTCGTTGCAGCTGGTCGTAGGCAGTACCATTTGACAGCCTACATGCACGGCATGAATCAATATGCCGGATCCGAGGAAAGCAAACACAAACAGCTGCAAACGGGAAAAGCTTCTAGTCAGAGCCAAAGGTAAAGAGCCCTAGGAGTAGTTGCTATCATCTCTTCTGTCTCTCTAATCTCTGCTCTTTAGTCTTTAGTCTTTACCGGGCAGTGAAGCTAGAATCTTGCTACTGCCCTTGAAGATATACATGAGTCTCTACTTTTCCCCGGCTAAAAGGTTAGTATTAGCATTCTACATTGTTCTCCCATGTCCTGCTGAGAACAGAGTTAGAGATGACAGAAGGAATGGGGTTCAGTCAGTCGAAGGTCCGTGCCTGTGTATTTTTGGATTTGGTAGTCGTGCCGAAAAATTAGGGAACCAAAGGAAATTCAAATGTTCTGAAACTGTAACATGACTGCTCGAAGTCTTCCGGTATAGGTTCTTCAGAAATTGGCATGTGATTCTTGAACAATTGATATGGAACAAATCAAAAGACATGTTTGATTCACATGCGATGGTGGTGCTGGTTGTGTTGCCCCTCATGCCTGTCTTCTCTGGAATGATGCAATTCTTCTAACGCCGTTGGTTTTGGGCCAGAAGGTTTAAAATGAAATAGTAAGTCTCAAATTGGTGCACCGTACATTGATTTTCTAGAAAAAGAATGTGGATATTGTTTAAAGCTTTTGATAGTTTGGAGACACATAGATTCATTGATGTACTCGATTCGACATAGATAGAAGTGATTCATTTGTATTCCTTTTGCCAGAGTTAATATTTGAAACCACACGCAGATCTGGATTATTATATTGTGGTTAGCAGATGCATATTTATTAATAATATTTTGTGGCATGTTATCTCCATTCATAAGTGTAACTGCCTCGCCCCATCAGGAAGGCCCACAGACCTTTCTGTGCCTCTGCATTTCTTCTGGTCCATTTTGCCACCTTCTGGTGACTTGTGTGTAAACTGTGATCTTTATGGGCTACTAGGCAGCTACGCAGCCTGAAGAGACTCCGGTCCATTTCATTTAGTAGGGCTTGCCAGAACAACATCTGTTTGCGCCATTCATGTTGCGAGATCTGTCGGAAAAGAGGAATGGAATACTCTGTTCTGGGCCTTGGTTGTCTACATATTCAGAACAGAAACACAAAAAACAGTTTTACTTCACACAAAACAAAATCTACTTGACAAAGATGGCGTCGCCGATACAGAAAACTCGAACCCGTACCTCTTATGCCAGCCGGTGCACACTGTGATAATCACAAGCATAACGACTTGCACCACAACTCCGCAAATGATTCCCGTCCAAAGGCCCTGTTGAAGCATCATCTTCAGCATATCAGCAGGCAGGTGGCTACTATGTGCTTTCATGTCGTATATCGAAGTCGTGAGACCAAAAAAAAAGGAGGAGAAGAAGAAGAAAGAAACGATTCAGAAATTTGTTGGAATCAGAGAGGAAAGAGTACCATTCCGCCGATGCGGAGAACAAAGGCTATGAGGTATGCCGCTGGGCCGCCGACGGCGTAGAATGCACCGAGGTTAACCCAGGCGCCGATCTTCTGCCATCCACAGCCTCTAGCCGCACTTACATAAATACATGTCCAAAGAGTGTTATCTTTCCAAATGCCACAATCTGCACATAACTGAAAATGTAGCAACTGTGGGTTGCTTTGGTTTGGACTCGTCGCTAACTGGCTAATAGATTCAGAGACTGCAAATAAAACTGTACCGCACCTGCAAGAGGACACTGAATTCCATCAAAGAAGTAGGACGCTGCGATGAGTAGCATCATCCGGGCCACGTATGTCACCACCTCCTCCTCGTCACTGTAGGCATGCCCCCAGACGTAGCCCACGCACACCAGCACCAACCCCATCACCAGTCCTTCAGACACGGTCATATTCCTGACGACGCGCACGGCGTGCCCTGTTTAGGGCCCTTTGGGTGGCAAATTTTTTTAGCACCTTGTTTTGCCATTTGCTCTTTTGACCCCCTGTTTGGGTTGCCATTTGCCAATGGATCCAAACATACCCTTACACGAGGAATTCGTTGTGTTTTGACCTCACATAAAACGGAACTGAAGCATACTTCAGGGTTAGTTTGGAAACATGAGGGAGAAAAGCCAGGAAGGAAAGCCCCCACAGGCCGTATTTATGTGGGCACAATTTCCCTTCCCCCGCTCACTATTTGGGGAGCAACAAGGGTGGGGAGAGAGCTCACTGCCAGCAAGCAGCCCAAGCAGCGGGAAACAGGCCGGAAAGCAAGTCGTGCACATGCAGTCCACCCGGCGCTTGCTGCGCCTTCGTGGCGTGCTAGCCTCGATAGTGATGTCCAAATCGGCCGGACCAAGCGGGTGGACACGAGCACAATTTTTTAGGCCTGGTCCAAACATAGCACGATTAATTTAGAGTCATGCCGGCCCGTTAGCCTGTGCGTGCCGTGTCACGGGCCGAGAGTTAAGCCCAACGGACGGCACGAGACACGGCACGGTATTAAATATAATATATATTTCATATTAGATACAAATGATGATGTAGTCTAGTGGTAAGACAATAACCTTCAAAGCTAGAGGTCATGAGTTGAAACCTCCATCTTGCTTTATTTTCGGTTTAATTTTGAAGCATTTCAATGCTATTGGGCTAAAAGAATGGTAATGAGCCGCAAGACACGCGGGCTTAACGGCATAATTAGGCACGAAAATCTTTAACGTGCCGTGCCATGGGCTGATGCTCAGGCATGTGGCCCGGCACGGCACGACCCGATAAAAGTAACATGCCAGGCCTTTTAAAACCCGTGCCGCCCGGTTGGACATCACTAGCCTCAGACTAGCAACAACGTCGGTTGAGATCGATGCAGAATTAGGAATGAGAAGGTCCAAGCATCGGGATTTTTCCACTGTAGGGGTGATACTGAGAAGAGAAAACTGAGCTTGCAAGGCATGTTGATGCATCGGTGCTGGATCAATAAAAGAATGATTCTGACCAAAGGGAAAGGGAACAGGATTTTTTTTATGCTGAAGGAAAGTGCTCCAAAGGACGTGTTTCTGCTAAACGGGGGCCCGCCGTTGCATGTGCATCGAGGAGAGAACATGCCGTGTACTCTCTCCGTCATTAAATAGATGTAAGAGAGGTGAAATGAAACCATATCTCATAGGTTTTTTAGGGGACGAACTCCTTCCACTACCCCTATCGCCTTCCTGACACGAAGTTGGTTAATTAGACATCTACGAGGAAAGGAGTGCCGAGCCGCAGGTGATTACCAATTTGACCCTTAGCACCTGTGTTATATTTGGTTATTTACTAAAATCCCTTTTTGGGGGAGAAGGGTAGATTTATTTCAATATGAGGATAAAAAAAGAGGGAGGATTCCGGTATTTTACCGGAACTCTATTCCATAAGAGTCGAATAGGAAGTTAAGATAAGGCCAATTTTATACGACATCTATTATATGATATTGTTTGAAACACATCAGTCCGGTCGCGTCGGAGACATCCTTATCTGATTTTGAGGCTTCGTCGTCCGGCTCCTCCAAAATTATGTTAGGATCGGCTTGCTCAACCTTATCATCCGAAAATAAAACAGAGACAAAACAAATTTGTTTCAATGACACAATATCGCAAGTTTCTTACGCCCAAACTGTACAAGCTTCTTCCAAAGCATACGACCTTTTGGGGGTATCCCTGGAAAGAGATCCAGTGGAGACGGGTGGGCCTGACTTTTAGACATCATGTTTGACCGCTTGTCTTATTTAATTTTTTTACGCAAATCTTATTTATCTTTTTATAACTTGTTTTATCATTAAAGATATTTTAATTGTGATATATTTGTTTTAATATTCCATAAATTTTTTGAATAAAACAAACGGTCAAACGTGATGTCTAAAAGTCAACAACGACATGTATTTAGGGACAGAGGGAGTAGACGATAGTTTCTCAGCATCACTGTAGGTGGCAGGGTACTTTATTTGTTCAGCATCAGTCACGCTGTGGACAGTCTTAGAGTCCATCCTACCTGCTGCTGTTGAGGTATAAATCCATGAGAACACAGATTTGAAAACAAAGTGACTTAAACAAAGTGGCTTGCGTTGGTGTCGGTGGCCGGTTCCTCTCTCATACTCTGAAGGATTGTGTCACAGTGATTTCAATGCTTGTCGTCCTCATGACGGGTGACAGACATCCTAAGGCGGCGGCGGTGGCTGATTCTCCTCCCATACTTTGGGGCATTGGTTCACTATGGCGATCATCGATTTTGCGACGGCGTCAGACATCGACGGTGCTACTACGGATTGATTCCCCTCTATACTCTTGGGGACTGAATCACGGTGGTAGTGCCCATGGTGATTGACGCCCATTCTCCGGCGATCGACGTTCTTGTGGCGCAGTTTAAGATGTTGCGATCTCTCGGATCTCTATACTTTTTGTGTTGCATGGGAGGTTCGAATAAAGCTGCACTAAGGATATGCTTTCTTTTTTGTTATTTTCTTTTATCAGTACGGCATTTTGCTCGACTGATGAGGACCGGTATTCTCGGTGATTGTATTGAGCTGTAACTCTCGTTTGAGAGCTAAAGCTGGGTTTAATATAATCATCCCATTATCTAACAAAAAGACAGAAGAAAACAACAAAAATCAGAAAAAAAAAATCTACACCATCGAAATCATAATGTAAGGTACTCGCAAAAAAAGAAAAGAAATCATAATGTAAGGTGATTGAGTTTAAAAACTGCTACAAATATCAAAAGATCATCCATAGATTTAACCTCACACATGGCATTCTCAACACAAACTGCATGCAGAGACGTCACTCGCACAAGTCTATACACACCTAACAGAGCTAAATGTCTAAAGCAACGCCAACACTTTCTCTCTCTTTTTTTAGATCAGCATCCGGACAAAAGTATAGCATAAATAACACATGATATTGTGCTCCATATATTGACTTAATTAGCCAAAAATAAATGGTTCCATATTTTCTCTCAACGACATGGAGCTGAAACTTATGTTCTCCTGATTGCTTGAGGTCGTGTTTGGATGTAGAAGTTGAGGGATTTATCTTTAGTCTCTCATAAGTCCCACGTTTTTCAAGGGACTTATTTATAGCCCCTTTCTGTTTGGTTTAGAGAGACTTATGACATTTAATGAAGTTTTAAGATGACCCTTAAACCCCTCTCACCCTTCCAAATGATGGGGCTGGTGGCAATGAGGACACCCCTTGTAAATATGAGCTTTTACCTCCAAGAGGTAGCAATTTTGTGACTTCATGACTTCTATATTTTCTAGTCCCAAGAAGTCCCAATAAGTCCTCCTGTTTGGCATCTTGGACTTCATTGGACTTATCTTTTGCTCCTAAAAGTAAGTTGGGGGTATCCAAACAGGACCTGAACCTGCTGGGCAAATCCTTAGACTGCAAATATGTCCCAAGAGAACGACAAGGGAACATGAATAACGGAGAAAAAGAATGGCAAATTAAGGTTCTGGATAGTGACAAACACTTCTAGTGAACACGACAACAATGCTTATGTCCGGGTCTAAATATAAGTTTAATAGCCAAAGTTTATAAATTTTGACTACATGCATGTCTATATTATACTTCCATTAATGCAGGGATTAGTTGAAGTATAAATCAGAAAAATGTAATTATTTGACCCCCTCTGTTTTGTTTTTGTGGAACATACAAACATAGAGAGCAGAATCAACCTTGTGACCATAGTACCCAACGGCTTCACTATTCTGTTCACTTGTTTCTTAACAGTAGAACTTAATTCAAGATTCAGACGATGTTATTGGTTATAAAACCGAAAAACGAAGAAGATGGTCCCAGCTCCCAGATGGTGCCGCAAGCAAGTAAGCAACAGAGATGAAGCATTGAGGCCATTTCTGCAAGCCAGGGAAGCAAGTGCAGGGTAAGCCAGGAAAAACAGGGACGAACTAAAGCACACACTGTTTATTGCACCGAGAACAGAAATTGAAACAAAAGAAACAGAAATTTACAAGAAGACTGTCGTGACATAACCAACAACATTTGAACCGACTAGAATAGAAAGCAATGTTATGGATCCAACTCCATTCTTTATTCAAGCTCTGGGCATAAGACCTTGAAGCACAGTTCTCTGACAGATGAAAAAAAGCCAGAAGCGTGTATGCAATATTACAAGCTCCTGGCAGCTGTGATGACACTCTCCAGAGTGATACCATACTCCTCCAAGATCTTTCCACCAGGAGCACTTGCACCGAATCTGTCAATGCCAAGATCGTGGCACGTGGTGTCTCCAATGGCTACAGCTCTCCAATCCATGAAAGGAATTATTTCACCATCTCATTCAGATAACTATAAAGAAAGAGATCTTTTACGATGTTTGCGAGGTACCTAATGGTACGAAGAGGTACCTCAACGCGAACCGTTGATCAAGGGAAGGGCAAGGTACGGAATAAAATTTAGAGCCATATGGCAAGTGGGTAAGAATATGATAACTAGGAGCCAGTTGTTTTGTTAATTTCACAAGAAGATCGGTGACTCTGATCTCCGGTACTCGTAAAAATCTGAGATGCCATGCACGAGAATTGGATTGCCGAGTGCCATTGATATTTTATTTTAATCGAGCAGGCGTGATATCTAATGCGTGAAAGCCTGTGAGGCACGTTTGACAACTACACTCCATTAAAATATGATTATTCACTCCATTTGTTGCTTCATTACCCAATTCATAGACTTTTTCCCTGCCTCGCTTGACTGGGATCTTGAGGGACCTATAGTTGGGAGCGAATTTGATTCAGGCTAAGGTGTAGTCTCACTTTGACGAATACTTAAGTGGTAGGCAAATGATTGCTCTTCTCCTATTTACATAGTTTACATTTGCTTACATCATTTTACCAATCCTTATATATGCATAGTAAATTTTGGAACACGGTATGCAGCCTACTACATGAGTAAAATACTTGAACAACATGTAAATAGCCAGTAAAGAACCAAGTAAATATAGTGTTCTTTGGACTCCCATTAAGAAAAAAAAAAATCATAACCGAGTAATCTTAACAAAACAATGCACATAGCCAAATAGAGTCAGCAGATAAGTCAAAGATGAATTCGCACCGCCTCACCATGCTCAATATTTTGGTAACCAAGTAAATCTTAACAAAACAACGTAAATAGGAAAGAGTTAATCACGTATCAATTTCTTTATGTTTTTGCTTCTAGTCTTCCAAATTAGTCATAGATAAAATTATCATTTTAACATCCATACTTAATACTTTTATCAATTTTTAAATATCTTTTGGTTGGTACCTTTGATCAAAGAGCGTTAGATTTAAGGCAATAGACGGCTCACATCATTTGCACACACCATAAGAGATCTCATATACAAATGGTAGACAAACCTCCTGACATCCTCAGGCACACAAAATGGCTCATAGGGCCATCCAAGGTTGTGCCTCGTTGCTTCAATCTCTTTGGTGCCCAATGGACCTCCATGTTTACTGTATGAGTTGGCCTTGTTAGGAGATCCAAAACCGATTGTAGTGGTCATCTACAAGGAATACGCCTTGGATAAGTATGATAAAGTCTAGATCAAATTTTTTTTTTAGATAATGGGAAAAAAAAGTACAC